ACTTCCCTTACTTATGCATCAATATACCTTCATCAGCTTTATACGTGGTATCTATCTCATAGTTTATTCGATACGTAAGGGATGTACAATTTATAAAACGAGGTAACTGTTGACAAACAAGTTGATGAAACAAAAATTTCAGCAGTTTCGTTTAAAATCATCATTTCGTAAGTTCTTTGGTCGATACAATGACCTTCTCAGCAAATACAAATGCTGACTAGCGTTTTGTATACTAATTGTTAGGCTATTATTTACACACTGAATTGACGACTAATGTTTCCGTTATTTCCCGATCATTAGAAGCAAACAGCGGGTGTGACCGTCCGGCAGGGGATGCTCACTCCTCCATGGCATCTGATCCCACCTCTGATGTTTTGGAGAAATGTGTTCACTGGGCATCTATGTTGTGTTGTTTTATGGACTCATGAGCTTGAATACTGTTCGTTGTCACCATGTACAGTTCACTCTTGATGGCTCGAACTCCGATCTCTCGAAGTGAACCTCCGGTCCCGTTTTTTTCTCTATATAACTAAGCAAATTTAAATTACTGATCTCTCGATTTATCTTGGGTACGAATTCTATAACTACCAAAACCTGGGTCCCGTTACACATATTTCATTGAATTTTACTCTCTATCTCTCGAAGTTTTGATTGCGCGTGTATACTCGCCAATCAACCGTAAAATTGATACAGTCTGGACTTACTTGGAAAACAGTGAACGCCTGGGGCTGGCATGGAGGTGTTAATTTGGAGTTTACATAGATGACAGTACACCTGTGGGTCGTCCGTGTGTTGATATAATTAATTGGTTATATTATTATTGGTATATTTTAAACCAATTCACAACTTCTTTTGACTTGAAACCGTTAGAAAATAATTTATAGACGTTCGCGTCAATAAGTTCCCATAGAATATGAACTTTTATTAGAGTCTACATAATCTCAGTATAGCAAATATTGCACAAGAAATTCCTTTCTGAAGGACTGAATACCGATTAAGAAAAACCTGGTGAACACTGGTGAAGGACCCGATGAAGCCGCGGAATAGCAAAACTGACAATTGCTATTCGGGTTTCATGTAGTCTTGAAAGAACAAGTAAATATTGAAACTGTAAAAATTCGTTTTATTAATTCGAAATACGACCATTGCTGTTGATATCAAGTAAATTACCTGTAAAATACGATTGAAAACGTGCAATTACTTTATTTACTTATATTTCCGGTATCTATAAAAGTAAAACATCCATGGTCGGAACTAAAAATTCCGCATTTTATTGACTTTTTTCTCTCGAACCCTTCGATCTCTCGAACTTTTCTCGCGGTCCCTTGAACTTCCAGAGATCGAGAGTCACCTGTATTTCATTGACATGCGTATACATGTATTAGGTTCCTGACATTTCACTTGAAGAAATGTACATTCAGCTTGAATTATTGAGAAATTAATTCACTTATCCAAATAGAAAAACCATATAGAAATATAAATGCAGTATTTACCCCCCTTCCCCCACACACACCACCACACACACCCTGTCTTTCAATTAGCCTCCCTTTTGAATTTGCTTCCGAAGCTTATGATATGTTGCTATATATTTGTTTGAAAATGTAAGACACGAACAAAAAGGTACATAAAAGCTTAAACAATCATACATTTGTAGTTAACAGTGTTATAAAACTAGTTCGAATGCAGTAGTATGATATGAAAGATCCAAAATAATTGCGCTCGATCGAATTGCAACTTTTAAAAAAAAGTTTAAAGTGTGGATGAGGAAACTGTTTTACTTTAGAAGCACAATAAAGAAACTTGCCTTGAAAAAAAGATACTAGTAAAAGAGAAATAGTTATTGCCCTTAGAAATATTTTTTAGATCGAACAATTGATTAGAAAAGGAAAAATATATATAAATATATATTTTCAATCCCTTTCTTAACAATACTATTCATTACACCTACTGAGAAACATTATTATTTCCTATTGAGCATGGATTTAAGTTTTTGCAAAAAACTATGACAACACAGGAGGATGGAAATACTTTAAATGGAATGTTGGTTCGGTTTTGTTTAATGCATTTAAATTTTTGTTTGTCAAATGGTAGTATGTGCCCAATGGTCCCTCCAGGGGAAAATATTGTTTATTTTTCATGCTACTCACTTCTTTTTTTCAAATACTAAATCAAAAAATATATAGAGTTATGTTGAGTATATAGAGTAACGTTAGGAAAAATAAATTGGAAAATCTCCACTCGAGCATATTTGGCCTTATACAATGTAGTTCTTCCCCAATATTTGAAATTCAGAAACCATCCTCCCTATTCCGACTATATAGAGTACTGCAGACAGAAAGTACTAACACCAAACTCTAACAATATTGTCCACAGAATACTGTATATTAAAATTAAAATATTTTGACTATTTATGTCTACAGTATATAGCATCATAAAACAGACAGATTTGAGGGTTTCGCGTGCTAACTAATTCCAGCACAATTTCGAGTCACTCTCGAGCCATGAATATCTACCTTGAAAGAAATTATATATGTTAAAAGAAAGATAAATCGTACAATTAATTCAAACAGTAATGCAATTTAAGCTGTTTGTAGTGTTTCGAATGATTTCATAATGCTGCTGCAAACAAAAAAGAACTCGATCTAACAAAGTAATAACCGCACGAGTGTTTGCCTTTAGAGTAACTAATTCCTCTTTAATTTGGATAACTATAGGAAAGAAGACACAATAGCTACATATATGCTAGAATTTTATATACATGTATATATATATTAAATTCGCTACCAACTGAAATTTTATGAAATGCAAATTCTCATTACAAAGACATTTTGGAAAGAGTTTTTTAATGTTAAAAATCAAAATACTCAGAAGTACAGAGAGCCGGGCTCATTTACAGAGTAGAATGGATTTCTAACATGAATCACGTTTATATTCTGATGAAAAAAATATTTTAAAACTATCAATATAAATGATAAGACACTGACAGTGAGTTTTTTAATCCTAATACCACGGTCCGCTTTTGTCAGAATCAGAATTAATCTGGTACCGCAGCTGAATGTAAACAAATAGGCCAGTCTGGTTCCCTCTCCTTTCTCTACCTCGTACCTGATTATCAAAAATCCTTACGCTAATGAACTATGTTCTTTGACTTATGAAGTTTTCAAAATCATTACTACTAATGTTTATTTTATATAGATAAAACTTCGTTTTATTTTTGTTGCTTTATTTAGCGTTTGTATTATCTCAAAAGCGGTTGAGAGTAAGAACTATATTTTTGCACGTAACTTTAAAATGGCGACTATGGGGTTAACATCCTGCCTTGAACAGGATCACATAAGCCGGCAATTGCTCTTTGAGCAATAAGCCCGGCTAATGATTTGTGAACTTTAGACTTCTAGTCCTTCCATAGGATGAATTCCAAGTGCTTATGGCACATTTAAAGTCCCTAAATTATATTCAAGAAATGTTTGAATACTGCTTTAATTCCAAGAAGAGTTCTGGGATAACGGACCGGATTTTATATAGATAAACATTATTTCTCGGCTTCTCATAGGCCTACAAGATAAAAATGAATATTAATTGTAATATTTTTAAAGGATACCATCGGTTGATTGAGCTACCAAACTCGTGGAAGCAGGTTTTTGTAGAAATAACACGGGTTTTTGATCCTGAAATGCTCTCTTGAATACACTGTAAAATGAAAATTCATTAACCTTATTACCCATCTGATTCTCGGACACCACTTTTTAATATTCCAAAAGATAAATTAGCCGCTTCAAAATGTAAGAGGTGTATAGGGGATATGAATTTTGCAGAAAAGGTTTTTTGACTACCAATAGGCCTGAGAGTAAATAAAATGAAGATTTCGAAACTTTGATACTGTACATCTATACAGGGCACTAGTTATTAGCTTCAAACATATAAATTGGCTACCGTGTAGTTATCGGAAGCAGGCTTTTGTAGAAAATGGTACAAATAAAACATTTGAACCCTTTTTGTAAATGTACAACACACCCCAACATTGGTGGGTAGAAAGCGTATCAGGTGGACTATAACCAAACCTTTCTCGGAAATTAAGAATGTCTTCTCTCTGCTGTTCTTCCCTTTAATGGCTGTTGGTCCAATTCTTTCCAGAATTTGTTCTTCCTAATATATTTGCAATGTTTGTTATGGGCTCCAATAGATACAGCAAAATTTCTCATAAATTGTAAGTTTTTTGGTATTTCATATATGCATCACAAAGCTTGTAATTCTTTTGTGGTATTTTATGCCATTTTATAATCAAAAAAGTAAATAAGTTTTTTTCAATATTGTTTCTATTCAAACGGATCTAATGCATGTATTTTAAAGTATAAGTTTGAGATATTACTAACTATAAGCGGTATTAGTTACTGTGCATTAATTTTCATGAATCAATGCCAATTATTTTTAACTTGTAGGATATACTAAGTATACCTTTTAGTATTTTATAACCCCATCAACTTACTTCCTGCTTCTTTATCTAGTTTTAGTATTAAGTTTCAGACTTAGATGATAAGATCCTAATTCAAAGTAATAAAACTACTATGAATTTTAATGTATTATAATGCATCGGTCTCTATCTTAAAGTTGCCAACATTATCTGTGGTAAAATTTTAACAATAATTTTAATCTTAACAGGGAATAATATACATGTACATTGTAATGCAAAGAAAAATTGCAATAGTATTCTACAAAATACTTTTGAAAATACTTTTCCTATGTAGCTGAAATAATTTTTTTTTTCCATTTAATTATCAAGAAAATGACTGTAGATACTAGATAGCAATTAAACAAATTAGGAGAAAATTTATTAAATTAAATTCCCTGGCTGAATTTTAAAGGAAAAAAATATATTTGCTACATATCTTAGGTCTGCAGAAAAGATTGAAAGAGCTTGGCCAGAGACAAATATTTATCTATCGCCGTGAATTGTATGACATTAGTACCAGCTGTTACCTATGAGTCACGAGGGTCTCCGATAAAGCCTCCAGCTCTCCCGGATCTCTAGGTCTACATATACACAGATATATATCTACCGTGAATTAAAAACGGTTTAAACTATATTTAAAAGGAATAAAATTGGTGCAATGAATCGTGAACCTAAGACATCCGGAAACCTTCTTACTGGTTATACTAGTATATGTGCATGACTGACCTAGTGGGACAATAGTGCAGGTCTTGGTTTTACTGTAATTGCGAATACATTGAACGGTATTAAAGGGGACAATTTATTAACCGCCATAAAGATATTTATAAGATTACTGCGTGTTAACATCGGAATCGGACAAATACATTGCGCAAGATGAAAAAAGACTGCCACGATTAAGGTATGTATTCAAAAGTAAAATATTTCATTAACAAGTGTACCTATAAAACTGGATTTAAGGGGGAATTTAAACCAAGCAAGCTTGTTTATGTTTTGCTCCGTTGGGTACATTTTCTTAAATCCCCCCATATATACACGTAGCAGAACAGGAATACACTTTTAAGTTATGAACTTTGATTTGTGTGTCAAATATCCAGGTTAAGGAAGGCGTATGCTCTCTTTTGTATTCCGATTGCTTACAGCGGACACCTTGACATGTGTTATTTTCCACTATTCGCAGTCTTTTTCCTACAATGTATGAAACAAGGAGATATACATGTATAAAGTAAAATTGATTATTTTGCACAGTTTCCTTGTTCACTTGGAGATAAATTTTAAACTTGATAATTTTTTTGTAAATTTTTATTACATAATCAAAATCAGAAGATACTGTGCATGACAGACGCATCCAATCGCTAATAGGACCAAGATAATACTTGATTAACATAAGTTAACAACAGGCGAAAAACCCACGTATACGATAGATGGAGTCAATCACCGCTAATACTCTACTTCTCAAAAACTTTTTTTAATGTTGCATTTTTTTTATTTGTTATCATCTTATCCGAACTTTTTAAGCTTAAGTTTTCATCGCTTTTGAAAGTTGAGTACAACCCGAAATAAGTCATTTTCAACATGAATAAACGGGCAGGAGAAGGGGGATAAAAAAAATTGTAGAATGAATGTAAGGATATGCGATAATGACGTGGGAGATATTGCGTTTTTGTTTTCATAATTTACTATCCAACTACAAGAGATTCCTTTATGGGGGTTGATAAATAAGCAGTTGCAATGTTCAAGTAAAGGAAGTGAAAATAAGAAAAATATCGGATTAAGTATTACTTGCATCTATAGGTTTATTGTAAATGAAACAGCGCAGAGCATAGGAAGACGTACATGTAGTTCAAGTCCAGCCTCAGGTATTTTTGAAATATTATGTGTGTGGGTTTTATTTTTAATTTCAGGTATGACAACAGTTCCCTTAATTAGAAATATATAATTTTTTAAAAGAATTTTGATTAAGGAATTGCTTCTTTAAAAAGTTTCCCCATAAAAATTGGGAGTATTAATTTACCACGGAACATGCGCAACGTTCCAAAAAGTGGTACATGTATTTCCTATTTGAAACAGATCTCAGTCTGTGTTTTGTCTAAGCTGCACGAAAGGAGAAAACATTTGGTTGGTAAATTGTTATAATCGTTATATATATATCTCCATGGTTTTTTAGGAGTCGTAGGGGGCCTGTATAAGGCGCCATTCCCAATGGTAAAAAGTATGTGTTTTCCCAGTTTCATGAAGGAAAATTTCCCAAAAGATTCGGAACAAAAAAATATGGTTTTCAAACCCAGTAATATGTATATTAAAAATGTTGTTTAAAAAAAATCTAAAAGGCATTCTCCAAAAACTGATTGACTAAATGTAAAATAAGTCAATGAAATGCCTTTGCAAATGAAAGAAAAAACAACTCTTATTTGAATTTTTTGTAATGTTAAATATATTTTTCCCAATTTCAACAAAATGTTAATTTTTCCCAAATGGAAAAGCCCAGGTCCTTGTTTTAACCCTGATCCCACCTCTGATGTTTTAGAGGTCCGTATTTGTTCTGCTCCAAAGTTTGTATTGTCTAATGGACTTCTGAGTTCGATTATCTCAAAATATTCTATTGTTATTGTAAATATTTGTAATACACCCTGTTTTATAGGTATATAAAAATATTTCGGATAATGAAGGATCATGCACAGTTAGTGTCCATCTTAATTCCAACACTTTGTTTAAAAGGGACATGGACACAGTTTCAGCTAAAAATTTCAAATTCATTTTTCCATTTTTTTTATGTTTACAAATATTTAACATAGGTTTTTCTAATGAAAAATTATGAATTTCAGATGTCGAGATACAAGACAGATTTAAAGCTCCAAACCATTGTTATGTTATCAGGACACATGCCATGTTTTTGTTAACATACGTTAAATATACTAATAAATTTTCGATCAAAGCAGATTTTTTCAGTAAAGAAGTTAATTCTAAATACATTTAGACGAGAGAGTTTCTTGCGATTTGCTGAACCTCATTTTTTTTAAAAAAATTTTCTGTATGTAAACAAAAATAGGGCATGAGCCTTGTTTTCATTATGAAGAATTTTAAGTTCTGTATCTCCTTTGTAAATCTACTAATGAAGTTGAAAATTTTGCCGAACATTAGAATTGTATTAGTTAGGAATTGTATACATTAAAATTGGTTGTAAAAAATGCTGTTGAAACTGGGTCTATGTCCCTTTATGATCTGGTCTCCAAAGCCTTTATGATCTGGTCTCCAAAGACAACAGTCGCCAGCGTGGCGCAGTGCATGGTAAGATCGTCTGCTCTAGAGTCGCGAAGTAAAGAGTTGATCCTTACGTCGCGGGTTCTAATCCCACTGTGGGACGTGGAGACCGGTCCTTCAGATGAGACCGTATAAACCTAGGTCCCGTGTCGCAGTAGGTGCTGGCACGAAAAAAGATCCCTCCCTGCTCAATGGCCCTGAGTGCCGAGTATTGGACAAAATTTGCAGCTCTCCATCGGCAAGTGGTGGCGTCTCCATATGAGTGAAAAATTCTCGATAGGGACGTTAAACAATATACAATCAATTAATCCAAAGACAACATCAATGTTATCAATGAAATACAATGAATCAAGTATTCTTCAGAGTGTGTGTGTGTCTAGAATCTGATTCATATAAGAAACAATAGCAAGGACCATGGACGCTTTAGAATGCATTTCAAAAGACAAAGTCTCTGTAAATAATGCTTTTTAAACAATATTTGGACAGATATGTCTGAAAATGGTAATATCAAAATAAGATATAATAGTGTTTAAACGGCTAGAAATAGGAGGAGCCCCTTCAATGGATTAACAGTTTAACAATACTGGATCCTTAGTCCCCTCGTGATGAGGATTTTGGAAAATGGACTTTTTTTTTCAAATGAAAAGTTGGAATTATATTGTAATTTATAAGCTTAATGAAAACGACAGGTATAGAGTAGCTGCAGATCTGTAGCTCTCCGAAAAAAATTATTGATAGACCGGAGAGCTACAGTGCCACCCATTGAAAAAACTGTATATTTATTGCGCACAGAAAAGTCCGCTCGATTCTTGATTAATTTTTCCAAATTCTTACCTCAATTGCAAAAAATGGAAGATTTCAAAAAATTACTCTCTCCTCTATCAAGTTCTCTCGTAGTTGACATCTGAACGAAGCATATTGGACCGAATTATCTTTGAAACCAAAATGGCAGTAAAAATAAGCGAATTGTTCGATGATTGCAATATCAGGGCCAGGAGGACTATTAACAACAATTATGAGGAATGTTTTGTTGTGGAAAGAGTCATAGAATATGTTAGGAACACACGGTTAGTAATATTTTGACATTACAGCTTCAAAAACATGGAGAAGTAAACCGAGAACCGAGCGCATTTTTTGTGCGCAATAAATATACAGTTTTTTCAATGGGTGGCTCTGTAGCTCTCCGGTTTATCAATATATATTTTTTCGGAGAGCTACAGATCTGCAGCTAGGTATAGAGCAGCTTATAATTGCCATGTAGATTTTAACTAACGATAAAAAAGAGTAATTTTTTTATCTCATCTTTTTTTAAAACTTATTTTTAAAAACTTTTCCCACAGATGCGTATGTGTACATATATATATGGTGGTCAGTTAATTTTAATTTCTGAAACTATATTTGTTTGATCTAAAATTTTTGTTTAATTTCAGTTTAGAATGACCTGGGCTAAATTTATTGACCCACAGTGAAACCTGTTGCTGTTTGAAATTCATTTAACATTGTAACAGCGAGGATTAACACTCAATTATAAATAAAAAGTCCAGATGTTTGACCATCTACAGTGTACAATTAGAGCGACATCTGCTGAGAGCAAGCTAAAGGGCACACAGCAAGTTATATTGTCATAAAACGTACAAATTTCTTGTCTATGGTATTCCTATGATCAAAAATGTCACTTAAAATAGCACCATTTTACTAAATTATTTAAAATTATCGAGTTAATAACCCTTACGAATGAGTTGATGATGAATGTAAGTGTTGATTATTATTTGATTAATAGTGAACTTGATAGGGATTTATAATAATGATCTAATACAATCTGATACATGTACAAAGTTGCATGGCCGGGGACCATAGTATGTCACTGGCCTCTTGTAAAACAAGGGATATTTGTAAATCGGGGAAGGTATTATTGTTTCACTAAAACTGCTTAGGAGTGTTGGCAATTATTGTAGAGGTGCAGCATAAAGGACTCTATACACAGGTAGGGTACATATATCATTGTTCCCTCTGAATAAGTAATGACCATTGCTGAGAAATTATTAAGACCTTTTAATAAGAATCCGAAAGGCGAAACAATTTTATTTATGCATTAAATTATCAAAGACTCCAGATGTGCTATTTCGTTGTGCCAAAAGTGAGGGATGTCTGACATTAAATTGTAGAATCAGAACTATTGTTGATAAAAGCATATATCGGAAAAGTCACGATCTTAACAATGTGTCACAGCTTTCATTGGCGTCTGTATGAAACTAACTAAATGTGCAAATGCTTCAATTAATACTTATATGTCAACCATTTAGGGTTTATAAATTGATGAATATATAGGTCACTAATGGCGTTTGATTAATAGTACGTGCCTAATGGCATCATCTGATGCGAATACAATTATTTTCCAACTTATCGTGGAAGGTATACAAAAATTACTTATCATATGAGCACATTATGATATTTACATAGCAAAGGGGGAAAAAAGATGACGTGAAGATAATCGTTAAAGTATATTTAATTTGTTGTACGATGATTGTGTTCAAAATAATAAGGGTACTAATCCGAAGTCAGGTAAATGTATTTGATTTTATTTTGATATGGAATGTATATCGGTATCTTTACGTTTAATATATTTTAGGGATGTCAAATCGGTCAATTTTTAATACTCGGTTACTCGGACGTTTTTCCGATCGAGTACCCGGGTACTCGGTAAAAGTGTAAATAAATATGAACAAGTAAACATTGTAAACTCTTGTAGAAATAAAACCACATGCTTTGATAGGAGGTTTACCCGTTAGTGTATTTCTGTTGTAACAACGATGAGCACTTCGTGCCCGATGAAATTCAATATAACATCGTTTATGTTCAATTTATTCATCAGATAAACACAAGAAATAAAATCATAAGTAGTTCATAGATTTCTTGTTTCAAAAATTAATCTGCTCCGTATATTGTAATGTAACTCTTTGTTGCGTTTGACGTCCAGGTATCAGTCGTACAGTTTAACTTGAACTTGATCAAGTTCGCCTAACAGCGGATTTACGGTTTTAGTACACTTTTCGAACATAGATTTTCTAGTATTATGGGACGGTATTTTGTAGTTTGGTGCAATGATGGACATAAGTTTTTTTAAGCCTTTGTCTTCAACCATTTGTATTGGCAGGTAATCAAACACACCCATATCAACAATCGCGCGGGCAATATCATCGGTCTCTTTTCCCGAGAATTTTTAAAAGACTTCTCGCAGAATTAACAAGATTGTCAAATTTATTAAATCATAATAGACCTTAAACGATGTTCAGTGAAAACAAATAATTAAAGTTAATCAAAAATAAGGGTAGAAGACAGCCAAAGGTGAGAAAAGCCAGGGGCTCGTAACATAAAGCTTGCTAAGTTTTTGACTTAAGTAGGGTCATAAGTACGTTTTAGGCACAATCTTAGGACCTGCCTAAGAACTACTTAAGTATGTCTTAAACCGTAACATAAAGCGAACTTAGGAAGGTCTTAGCTAAGTCAAACTTATGTCCAAAATATTTCTTATGAATCACCCTATATTTTTTCATTTTATTCAGATATATTGCTACAAAATGATTCGGTTAATTAAATATGTATAAAAGTTAACGTCCTTACCTATCGTTTTAGTTATGTAAGATTAGATTTTGTATTAAAGATATAATTTTGTTATAAAATACACTGCATATTTTATTAAGAAAAAATACTGAGCGGTCACAAAGTGGATGGTGATTTGTGGTTCATTGTAAATGTATTACTATTGTTTATCCCTCGAAGCTGCGATGTTTTCAGTTACCGTTTATTGTTCTTTTGTTCTGACTAATGTTCACTTACTTTGTTATTCTCGTAGACATGACAAGGTAACCGAACGTCTGTCTACTTGAAATTAAAACTTTAAAAAATACAAAACATTTTGAATCCCCCCTCCTCGATGTCTCAGTCCATGTCAGCAAGCAAACACTGCAGTAGTTATAATTATTTACAATTTCATCAAGAGTTGAAATTCTTTCAGGAGATCTTTTTTTTTCATTTATCAACAACTCCCCCTCTCTCTCTCTCTCTCTCTCTCTCTCTCTCTCACCACTCTCTCTAGACCAATCGATCGAACTCTAGGAAACCCTGTCTAAAGACGCTCTTGTCGTTCTACATTTATGTTAATTTACAGACACTCTTTATTAGTTTTTGGTCATCATCCTCTCACCCCAAAACATTTTTCTGTGTTTAAAAATCTATTTCATCTCATATTTTCAAAGTCAACGTACAGATCCATGAATTAGACTATTGCTGTGTTCAATTTACTTATAATGATTATTGGATTGGTGTTTATAACCGATCTAGGTAGGTACCACTAATTTCAGACGTATCCCCAAAATTAAATTTTGCATTTACATGTGCGGTGTCTTCAGAGTAATAGTGGAATCATTGATCAGTAACACCCCCCCCCCCCGACGAAAAAAAAATCTCATATTAGTATTTAATAGGAATAATTATTTTCTTTAATACATAATATGAATAGAGGAATGCTTTAACACCGAAAGTCAACATAAAATAGTTCTAAATAGATGTATAAGAAAGTTAAGATATACTTAAGTCACCTCTTTCGACCGCCTAAGGTTTGCTTAGATTGCCAAATCTTAGCACGCTTCTAGTTACGGTCTTAAGTTTTGAACTGTACTTAAGTCCTACTTAAGCACGGTCTTAGACTTAAGTAGCCTTTATGTTACGACCCCCAGGTTACAGGTGCTTTGTCACGATAATTACTGTATAAACACTGCCACGGGCGATAACGGTCATTTACAGGAGTAGGGAACCCTAATTACTGATGTACAAGTGCAATGAGTATTTTACGCTTTAAAACAGATTGTTTAATGCATTAATAAACAAGCTAAGAAATATTCAAAAATATACATCCGAGTAACCGAGTACTGATTTTAGTATTCGATACTCGGACGTTCGATCGAGTACCCGGTTAACCGGGTACTCGTTGACATCCCTAATATATTTATATTGTAAAACTATACTAAAATTATGTTGTAGTAAGTTCATCCCTGTAGAAATTCTTCAATATCTTGGTGATTAAAAAATATATTTATATTCTTAAGTGTGTACCTCTTATTTTGAATATAAAAATTCAACTTTAATATGTCTTTCTTAAGTTAAAGCATATTAAATTGATAGAAATTAAGTATGGCCTGCTTTTTTTAATTGGTGGGTTTGAGAAAGAGAAAATCACATTTTTAAAACTATTTCTTTATTGCATTTCAAATCTACACATGCACTTTTAATTTTTCACTGATTGAGTTAAACAAATGTAATTGCAGGTGATGTTTTGAAATACACGAGAATACAACTTAAATAAATTGGACATGCATCGCATAGTTCATGAGTATACAGGTTCGACTCCTTAAAAGAACAACATGACAGGGGAGATAATTGCCCTTGATGTGTGGGACAAGTTGCTGATCTTGGCTGGGGTGGCGCTCTTTATGGTCTTGGTCGTTTTGACGTTGATGTGTGTGCTCTCTCCCTACTGCTGTCTTTATCAATACTGTCCGTTCCGGAATACGAATCGACTAGGTATGATCTCCCCTCCCTGAATCCGTCTTTTCTTTTCTTTAGAATTGCATTGCCCCTGCATCTAATCCCTTTGAATAATAAATTAACATTTAGACAGAATTTGGTTTAAGTTCTGCGTCAAGTAAAATACAAATAATTTAAGAGCGAAATGCAAATCATGACAAGGCCAATTCATTCATGCTGTGTTTAACTCGAAAGAGAGGAATTATAACGAAGCTAACTGGGTCTGAACTTTCCCTAGTGCGGTCAAGTCAGTGGCGTTTTCTGACCTATATTCATGATTTTTCTGTTAATTGCTGGAAATTTTTATTATCTCCCTTTACAAAATTGGTTTATTTCTCATCTTTATATTTTGTGTCTGCTAAAAATTATACGTCATTGTTAATACATCTTTGCTAGCCAAGGGTTTCCGATCCGTAGAGTAGATTTCGAATCGGAAACCCTTGGCTAGCGAAGATGTTGTTAATAATACTTTTGAGAATTTCAAACAAATTATTAAATGTCACAAAAGTGGCAACACACGACAAACTGTTTCACAGACTTTTTACTCATTGACGGAAGATAAGATAAGGTGTTGTAGTGTTGAGAGGAATATGGAGATAAGCAGTTTGATGGGAAACTGGGCGATCAGAATTCTGATTGCATTAAAATAAACCATTTATATTCATGATTGTATTTTGTTTGATATAACATTATTAAAAATCTTTTTATTTTATAAATACAAATATGTATCATGGTATTTTAATTTGTAAAAAGTAAAAAAAAATTTACTCAGCAATGATGATAATTCTTCAGATGGCAAACCTTTGATAAATTATGGATCTACTGACATAATGCTGGAATCCAAACACGACAGGCGATCTTATCTGGGGTCTATAAAAGAAGAAGAGTCGTCCGAATGGTCCGACGCTAGCGCAAAGAGTGCTCTGGATCTTAGAAGGGTATTAGATTTTTATGCATGTTTCCCGACTTTCCAGTTATAAAATTATACTATAAAGAACAAAAAGAAATAAGCTAACACAAGTTCGGTTTTTTTTTCTAAAATTCAATCGAATTTAAATGTCAATTATTTGTGATTTTAATGAATCAGTTTCATGATCTCATATTTAAAAAATAAATCATTGGGTACTATTAAATTTTTTTAATTTCAAATTTTAAATTAATTAATGTTTGTTTTTCATTATTTTTTCCCCAGAGTATGTCACCCAGTTACGTACCAAATGGATCAATCGGTTCTCTACACTCAGCCTCACAGATTCACGACGGCACGCTGCACTTCTCTCTAAAATACGACAAATTTGACAATGACTTACTCATTAAAATTTTGGAGGTTACAGATCTAAATGTTGAAGATAGAACCGCCATTTTGTCTCCGTATATACGGGTGAGGCTATACAGATCTCATAGACAACTTTTTACCGGTGCTGTTGAAAATGTTGACACCGAGTTCAAGACTCGGATACAAAAATTCAAAGACAATTTAACTTTTAATGAGACGTTTAAGACATCCATTGCAGCCACCAGTGTAAAGCATATCAGCATTAAATTTCAACTTTGTGACTTGGACAAGTATTCTAGAAAGATAGTGATCGGAGAGTGCATTATGAAATTAAAGAAAATTCATTTTGAAGATTTCGAGGAAAAAGTCTTCCAGGAAAAATTGAGGGCACCAATAGAGGTGTGTATTTCTGACAACTGATTTTATATTTATAAAATCATATAAATATTTACTTATTTTGAATTTTGCAAGACAAAAGAAACATTTACCAGACTTTGAATAAGCACTTTAAAGTACTGTGGGCATAGGTAATTTTAATGATCATTTTCTGAGGACGTTGACAAAAATGAAGAAACACTAATAAAAACCAGAAGTCTCTGTCGAGACTGAAGCTCTACTGGTTTGTACTTATAGCAAAGGAAGTGAAAAGTACTTAAGCAGTTGAAAAATTGAAACTTTTCAACAGCAATAAATAGAATAATGATCCTTGATTAAGTCTCTTTATCTTCTTAGTGTAGTCTACATGCATGCCACATTATATTATAACCAGACTAAAACTGTTATTTGGAGTAGCATTTTGATAGTATTTAACAGAAATTTCTATTTTTAGTAACCATGGCAATAACGTTCATCGAAATCAAAAACCGATATACAGAATTATGTATCTTAGTGTAGTCTACTTGTGTGCCAAGTTATATTGAAATCTGACCAAAACTGTAGGAGGAGTAGCATTTTGAAAGAATTTCACAGAAATTTCTATTTTTGGTAACCACGGTAACACCGTTCATCAAAATCAAAAACCGATACACAGAATTATGTATCTTAGAGTAGCCTACTTGTGTGCCAAGTTATATTGAAATCAGACCAAAACTGTAGGAGGAGTAGCATTTTGAAAGAATTTCACAAAAATTTCTATTTTTAGTAACAACGGCAACACCTTTCATCGAAATCAAAAACCAATACACAGAATTATGTATCTTAGTGTAGCCTACTTGTGTGTCAAGTTATATTGAAATCAGAACAAAACTGTAGGAGGAGTAGCATTTTGAAAGAAGTTCACAAAAATTTCTATTTTTAGTAACCACGGTAACACCGTTCATCAAAATCAAAAACCGATACACAGAATTATGTATCTTAGAGTAGCCTACTTGTGTGCCAAGTTATATTGAAATCAGACCAAAACTGTAGGAGGAGTAGCATTTTGAAAGAAGTTCACAAAAATTTCTATTTTTAGTAACAATGGCAACACCGTTCATCGAAATCAAAAACCGATACACAGAATTATGTATCTTAGTGTAGTCTACTTGTGTGCCATGTAATATTGAAATCAGACCAAAACTGTAGGAGGAGTAGCATTTTGAAAGAATTTCACAGAAATTTCTATTTTTAGTAACAACGGAAACACCGTTCATCGAAATCAAAAACCGATACACAGAATTATGTATCTTAGTGTAGTCTACTTGTGTGCCATGTAATATTGAAATCAGACCAAAACTGTAGGAGGAGTAGCTTTTGAAAAATTGTTTACAGACGGACAGACAGACAGACAGACAGACAGACAGACGGACGGACGACGGACGCATTACCATCGCATAAGCTCTTCTGGTCTCTGACCAGTAGAGCTAAAAAACTGGTAAGAAAATTTCTATGAAGTTTAGGTTTAGCATTGTCAACGAGCCTGTTCTGTTTAGAGCAATGTTTGTCATGAAGATAACAGTGATCTCGGTGGTAAAAAAAGATTTATACGGAAGCTTAATAACATGCTGTCATTGATTGAATTAGGGAATCACCCTCTAGTTTGTTGGGTATGCCAGGGCATCAACGATAGTTAGAAGCATGGAATAATGTATGCATAACGTGGGCGAAAGGTAGACCCTGGCATACCCAGCAAACTAGAGAGTGATTCACTACATTTCCATTTCATTAAAAAAAAAATGTAAATTTGACAAGCACACGACGGGTGTGACTGGTGGGCAGGGGATGCTCAATCCTCTGTGGCACCTGATCCAACCTTATGTTTTGGAGGTCCATGTTTCCTTTGCTCGTATTTTGTATTGTTTAATGGAATTTTTAGCTTAAAAATTATTCATTATCTCCATACATTTCATTTCATCAACAAAAAAATAAGACAGATTTCCCTATTATGGCTTAACTAAGTCTGCTTTGTTAGAAGAATTAACGGGAATGCAAATGATACGTGATTTATATACATGTGATTATCATGTTTGTTATGCAAAACATCGTGTTGAACTTGAGTAATGATTCAAGCTATGACTTAGGTCGATAAAAACAAACGAATACACATTTTTAACGCCACAGCTGCAGTATGAAATAAATGACATATAGATTTTTTTGCAGTTTGATGCAATAGTCAATGTTCCAAACACTATTACATCTAACCATCTACATTGTATGCTTTATATAACACAATGTTTCAGTAAAAAAACACTATATCTTTAACAGAATTTATTCAATACTAGTGTACCCTTCGTAGTTTTATTCTGAAAACAGCTCAATCCTATTAAAGCAGTCGTTTTAGATTTTTTACTACGACTTGTGTGTACGAGTCCTAATTCTAATACAAAAGGTTTGAGGACAACTTGTGTGTACGAGTCCTAATTCTAATACAAAAAGGTTTGAGGATGAATGCTTTATTTTAGAAACAGCTAATCTTATTTTCTATAACTAATTGAATAAAAGTACTTTCTTGGCTTCGGGTGATATTATATTATTTATATTAAATATATGCGCCATTATCAAATTTTTAAATGTTTTTCATTGAGCCTGCTATATATTTTGTAGGAGGAATCAGGGGAGATATCCATTGGATTGAATTATCTCCCCACGGCAGAAAAACTGTATGTCAACGTAGTCAAAATGAAAATTTATAAGACACCAAACAGGCCTCAGAATGTACTGGGTAAGTATTATGACGTAGAAAAAAATAGGGCTTCAATAAGTCCAGTTTCTTGGCCGTAAAGTGATAACGAGGTTGTACGTTACATGGAACCTTCTCAGTAAGAAAAGCTAATTGATAAGTATTTTATAATTATTGTGTTCATTGATATGTTTTCTTTCACAACCCATGCTTACTTTACATTGAAGGTCAATATAAAAATTGATTATTTTATTTCTACCTAAACTTTAGTTTCAGACTTAAAATTGTGTTTTTCTAACAAGCAATTAAATAACATCGTTTAAAAGTCTTAAAAGCGGAAATGGCTAACATTGATTTTTGTTAACAGATACCTATATCAAAGTTGTTCTAATGCATGACGGGAAACCGCTAAAGAAAACCAAAACGGGAACTAAAACGGAGGAAGCGAACCCTGAATTTGATGAAACCTTTCCGTTTGATGTGCCCACACAGGAACTCGAGAAAGTGTATCTAGCAATCAGTGCCATTTCTTTGAACACGGAAAACTCGGAACAGAAAGTGTTGGGGCGGATCTATATTGGTTTACCCTTTGGAGGCCCAGCACAGGAGCACTGGACAGAAATGATAAGATCGCCGAGAAATCCAGTCCTACATGTGCATAAACTCACTGAACAGTGAAACCAGTGAAATTGTAATTACGGTGAAGTTGATATAATTAGTATCTCTCATTCATTCTCTTTCATATTCCGTCCTTTGAAATATCTCCTGCAAACGTGTGGATTTCCAATAACCTTTGCAATACTACCTAAACCTCGGGACATGTAGAACTTTACTCGGTGCACTGAGCACCAAAGTGAGTCTAATTTACATAGCACAAGCAAATTTAAGATGACTGCTGCTGGTAATTTTGTATGAATACACGAAACATATTATAAACTTTTTCGTGTAGTATCGAAAACGATTTTTCATAAGATCAGTGTACGACATATTTTTTTTTTCTGGTAAGATGTGCTAGCTTTTGATCACCTAAGTAGAAATTTGCAGAGATTGGTACGTGTATAAACAAATATGCCACAGGCTAGCAAGTATTTCTTACAATATTTGATTTTTTTTTTTTTTTTTTAAAAACTCATGAATCAAATTATTGCTTAATTTAACTTGATAGGTGTACTGGTACATGTACATTTATGATTTACCCTAGATTATGACACACACATAAGTGTGTATTCTTTGAAAGACATGTGGAATAGGTTTTAATGATTTTATATTTCATGAATTTGGGTTTGTAAGGATGCACAAGTGTTTGAATGTGTTCGTATATTAAGTTAGGCCATTCCAAAGTTTTTCTATGTTTAGCATCCGCGTGCGCCTTGGTTTTTGACAACCCATGTCAGAAAAAACAAACAGAATCAGGAGTCCGAAAATTAATTATTCAGGTCAAAATTTGTGATTTCCAGCAATATCTCTAAATATTTGTATAATATTTCATTATTGGAATAGTTTCAGTATTAATACCTTGATTTTGCTGCAGAAAATAACTTTCTTTATGAAAAATAGAAAAAAATGAAATCATATCTTTTGAATTACGTCATTCTTATTACTATAAAATATGTGTTTTATTATTTTTTTTTGACCTGTGTGTTTTTTGCGAATAGGGTTTTTGAAAGATGGGTGGATGCTAAACAGAGGAAAAACTTGGAATGGCCTTATTGGAAGTTTAATTCCAGTGTTCTGTGATTTGTATAATCACATCGGGTTTATTTTAAGCAAAAAACAAAAACATTGTTTGATGCTTGGTATAAGATAAGAAATAAAATTTAAACAATTCGCTCAAAACAGTGTCTTTGTTTTCGATTTCCATCAACGAGCTATTGTCATTGCCAGGCACAGGAGATAGGGAGAGGTCCATCAGTCCTTCATATGCCGCATTTTCGAATTCTATCGTCTCACAAACTTGAGATAATGTTATATCATCGATTTCGTTGATTAGGAATTCATCTAAACACGGCAAATCTAATAAATCAACATCGCTGCCCAGCTCAAATTCCCCAAACGCGTCCACATGTTCCATCGCAATACTACAGCTTTAGCGCGCTCTCTCAACTTTTATTTATATATTCAACAATGAAGTAATCTGATTGGCTGAACAGTGAAATACCGTAACCTGATTGGTGGTTTGTTCTATCGAGGGAGCATTTTAAAAAACAAACTTCATTTAGAGTACGAGTTTTCTACTGTGTCAGGGATACCGGGCCGGGCCCGGCTCGCGCTGTCGCTCTCGCCTTAAGCCCCGCCCTTTATCTCTTATACATTAGAAAACTCGTACTCTAAATATAACATACATCAGAGTGTCCGTTGCTGCACAAAATGTCCCAGTGAAAATATATTCCAGTTGTACCTCAGTGGTGCTTATATGACAAAGTCTATCTATGCATCGAATGGACAGGGTATTTATACAGTATCATAAATCTAGAATATTCTAGAAGTTGTTAAAACATGTTGACCACTCTGGAATATTCAAGAAACTTAATGTTACTAATAATATACATGATGAAACAATACAAATATAACACACCTCACAACACTATTGACATACTTCATAACTTCAAAAATCAAAAAAAAAAAAAAAAAAAAAAAAAAAAAAGGATCAACCGGGATTTAACCCTTGGGCTCGCATGCTAAGCGAAAATGTTTCCCTCCGATGACCTTGATTTATTGAGTAATTTTAAAATGCAAACAATAGGTCGCATACATATCGTATACATGTTTACATTACTTTCTCGATTGTCAAAAACTTACAAAAAACCAAGTGTGTCTAGTTTAATTAGCTTCTGCTAATTATTTTAACTAAAAAAACAACAGCCGTCTTCTTTATGCCATAGGGATTTGTCATGTAAAATATAATTGCAAAGTTCAAAGGCTTCTCAAGATATCCCTTGGAAACGAAAATGTTACAGACAGGCAGAAATACAGCCAAACAGAGGGACGGACAGAAGGGCAGGGGGGCATATATGGAGTTATCATGGTATAACATTTAATTGCAAAAACTCAAAAGCCTCTTGAGATATCGCCCAGAAATGAAAGTTTTACACACACACACACACAAAATGCATGAATTTACGACCTTGACCTTTGACCTCAAAATCAATACGGGTCTTCGGTAAGCTGTAAGAAGTTTTGGTATAAAATATCATGGCAAAAGCTCAAAGGCTTCTCGAGATATCACGTGAGAAACTAAAGCGTTACAGACAGACCGAACTACAGAAAGACAGACCAAAATTAATAGCCCCCACTTTCAGCGGAAAAAAACTAAAACTTTAACAAAAAAAGATATCAGTCATAACCAGAAGTCTCTGTCGAGACTGTAGCTCTACAAGTTTGAACTTATAACAAAGGAAGAAAAAAGTAGCAGCTGGACTTGCAACTTTCCAAGAGCAATAAATAGAATACTGAACCTTAATATAGTCTTTTTTGTGGCAAAAAATGCAATAAGACATCACTACAACTGGAGGAGTAGCCTTTTCAAATAATTTTACATAAATTTCAAATTTAGTTACCATGGCAATCTCATTCATCAAAATCAAAAAAAAAAAAAATTAAATTAAAAAATAAAAACAATAAAGACATTTATATATCTAAGTAGAGTTTACTTCCATGCCGCATTATATTACAATCAGTCAAAAACTGCAGGAGTGGCATTTCAAAATTCTTTCACAGATATATCTATTTTTAATTAAACACGGCAATACCGTTCATCGAAATCAATACATCGATACACAGAATTGTGTATCTTAATGTAGTCTATTTATGTGCCAAGTTATATTGGAATCAGACCACTACTATAGAAGAAGTAGCATTTCGAAAAATTGTTATAGACAGATAGAATGATGGACGACGGACACTTTACTATCGCATATTAAGCTCTTCTGGTACCTGACCAGTGAAGCTAAAATGAAATAAAAATTGCGAACAAACCGGCGAAGCAACTGTTATGGTCTATAAACAGGAGACTTATCAAGAGGCAGTATTTTTTTTTCTCATGTTAAATTGATTCACATCACAGGTTTTTAAAGATTGAAACTGAACTTTAATGTAATGTAACCATAGTCAGTTAATTATTATTTGGCGTAATCTAACTTCAGGCGATGAAAAGAATATTTGGTAAAATAAATAGTTTACAGCAAAATATCACAAAAATGTTCCAAAATACAAAATTAGTACAATTCTTTTATTTTGTGGTTTTTCCTACCAATTCTAAGCACAGTCTGGGATCCCCTCACTGCTAAATTGCATTGTTTCTTAAAGTTAATATTTAATATCGGATAGAACAGACACAATAGGATCCCATTAGCATTTTGTACAAATATTATTTCAACAAGATAATTGCTATAACATATTTTTGATAATGATTTTAAATAGCTAATCAATTAGACCTCGATCACTTGCAGTGTTATTTTATAGTTCTACGGGGATGGATGCTGGAATTTATCTAATAATTACGGGATTAATACTGCCCTTTCTGACTATTAAGGTCTTATTAGGTAAGTCGACAATTGCTTAGAATTTTCTGTCATAGTTTATAGTTGTAATTATTTCCAAGTTCAAGTTCACTTATTCACTCAAAATCATTTAAAATATATGGTTTACGAGGACAATGAAAACTATTTACAGCATATAAATTCAGGTCAGAAGTACAAGTATATGATATACATAATCAGAAAATAAAATGGTAGATAAAACCAGAAGTCTCTGTCGAGATTGTAGCTCTCCTGCTTTTTACTTAATATAATAAAGATAGAGAAAAAAAACTTTACAAAAGCAATAAATAGAATAATGATCCTTGATTTAGTCGATGATCTCTATTTTGTGGCAAGATTGCAATAAGACAACAAATGAGGGAGTAGCTTTTAATAAAATTTTACAGAGTTTTCAATATTAGTTACTATGGCAACATCAATCATCAAAATCAAAAACACAAAACTTATAATTATGTATCTTAGTGTAGTCCACTTGTGTGCCAAGTTATATTGAAATCAGACCAAATCTGTAGGAGGAGTAGCATTTTGAAAGTATTTCACAGAAATTTATATTTTTAGTAACAACGGCAACACCGTTCATTGAAATCAAAAACCGATACACAGAATTATGTATCTTGGTGTAGTCTACTTGTGTACAAAGTTATATTGAAATCAGACCAAATCTGAAGGAGGAGTGGCAATTTTTAAAAATTGTTTATAGACAGACAGACGGACAGTTAGACAGCTAGACGGTATTTTTCTAAATTTAATGGCAAAACTGTTCATTGCAAATATTAGATAGTCCACTTGAATCAAAAATACGATGAACACAGTCAATCCAAGGATTCTTACCAATTTCTGATTGTGAATTGGCAAGAATGAATTTACACTGGTATAAGACGTCTGGAATAAACTAGAGGTACTGTGAGCGATGAGCTCACTGAATGAGCTCCCATATGGTTATAACTGATGACAAAGTCAATGTTTTGCTGTGCCCGGAAAACCCAAAATATGTGTCAGATCAAAAAATAAAATAGGAGGTGCACAATGGCAATATGTAATAAAGATTCTGTTAAAGTTTCATTAAATTTCACAATGTGGTAGAAGAGGAGTTGCGGATAAGAGATGGGTACCCTAAAGCGTAACAGATGGACGTACAGAGAGACGGACGGACGGACATACCGATTACAGTATACCCTCCCACTTTTCAAGCGGGGTATATAATAAGGACAGATAATGGGAATCGTCCTGTTTCACCATAAACTATTTAATTTGGGGTACTATTAAGTATAATATGTTTCAAAAATTTTAACTGAACACATTAATTGCACACAATCAAGTTGTTGATTGTGCATTGAATGTCATTTGTTAAATTTTTATAGTCATTGAAATTAAAAGAATCATTTGTTTTCTCATTATGGTAAGTTTTGCCCTTTCCGCTGCCCATACCTGACATTACACAAAATGCCTTCTAAAGAATAAAGAAATTGGTTTTGACAGAAACAACTACTTCAATATTAAAATTCACATTCAAACTAGTCGCCCGCGTGGCACAGTAGTTAGAGTGTTTGCTGTAGAGTCCTTGGAGTCGAGGAGTACATCGCGGGTTAAAATCCCACTGCGGCGGGATATCGAGAGCGGTCTTCGGATCAGACCGCTTAAACCGAGGATCCGTGTCTCAGAATTTGCTTAATCTCTCACTGCTTAATGACCCTAAGATTGGGTATACAGTAGGTTGAAATTTGCAGCCTTCCAGCGTGAAGTGGCGGCGTTTCTATAATGATGAATGAAAAATTCTACATTAAGGACTCTACAAAGAGCAAATGTTTGTTGGACATTGAGAAAACTATATTGTAAAAAGGTGTTAATATTGAGCATATCTATTTAATTTTCTCTATTTGGTACAAGGCATTTCCCCCAGGAAAAATGTTCAAACACAGCATAGTATACGTGAACAGAAATCACTTATTTACTTCCACAGAGACAATACATGTACATAACGTTTAATTAATTTATCTTGGCCTTTTAAAATTTTTAGAATACATGAACTAATTACAAATTGAGTAATATACTATAAATTTCTATTTCTCAGAATCAAACTAAAAAAGTAACATATCTTTATCGTACCCTAGCTGGGTCAGTATTAGGATTCCCCATCAACTACTCAAAAAAAAAAAATACAACAAATGTGTGACAAATTATGTCTTCTGTTCAATTGAATTATTAAAGGGATATGCACACAGTTTCACCTAAAAAAATCAAATTCATTTTTCCATTTTTATGTTAAACATGCATTTTA